TTCGGAATTCGCCAACCGGTATCTTTAGTGCTTTTTTTAAAGGTGAAAACTTAAAACTGAATGAAGACCCATGAAATAAATTAAGAGTTCGACCAATTCTGAGCATCACAAGACCCACGTTGAAAGATATAAATTAGGGGTAACTGTGGCGTACTACTGGTGATTTTGTGGCAGCTCCAAGATACTTTTTGGACAGTTCGCATAAGGTTCTCATATAACTAATCCAACTGAAGTGAAACCAACGATTTACATTAAAGCTTTGCGTTTTATCAGCAAAGAGGATTCAGACTTCCACAATTCTGCATGTACTTAGCCATCTTATAGCAAAGATTGTGTATCTCATAAACCAAGTCGAATTCTACTCACCCGACCCATCCGCTCGCCATTGTAAGTAACGCAAGAAGAAATTCAGTAGAAATGATTTTCCCATTCTGTAGGCACCAGCAACTCCAATAACAGCAACCTACAAATAAAAGTATCACTGTCAAATCACTCAAGTGCAGTGAGCCTATACTCGTTACAGTAGATTACCAACAAACAATCAGTGTAACACCTCTTAGATAAATGCTAAAACATTAAGCGCAGCTGACCCATGACGACAGTACGATGGTGATGACGAGAAAACTTTAAGAAACCCAACTACTTCGTGCAGACTCCAGATAAATAAATACTAATGACAAATAAGATGCGTAATGAAGGCTTCGCAAAAACGCACCTTCTTGTCTGCTACTTTAGGATCGAGTAAAATGCTCTCCAACGCCGCGACATTAAGCTCAAATGAGTGATCGACGTCTTCAACTACTTCAACTATTCGGACCGGATGAGGCCCGTGACCCAACATTTCAGACTGTTCCTCCTGAAACACATATTTATAAATCATGCAACATTAATTGTAACATGGATCATAAAGGTTGTCTCAAGTCTAATCACAGAAATTCAAAAACTACATTCCCCTTTCGAAGATATAGTTGAACATATATCTCTTGCCTATTTCTTACCTACTCACAGGTTGTAGACTAACCAAAAAATCAAAACTATAACCATCGTTAGCATATGTTCAAGCAACTTCAAATCTTTTCGAAAATTGTGGGTAGAAGAAGCGCAATTGAAGCATCTTCTAGTATATGCTGTTTACAATTAGATGAAGCCAATCACATCCCCTCACTCGACTCTGTTTCAAAATATTTTGCAAGTTGTGTTCGAAACCACACAGTCAGGTCTTCATGCAAACATATCATTATTAAGAAAATTGCCTTTGAATCCACCATTCCATTGCTCTTATACGCGGCATTCATACAAAAAAGCGATTCGAGACGGTAGACCAGGCCAGGAAAAAAGCAAAGGTTCTTTAAGTGTCAAGATGAGGTAGTGACTCGGAGCTATCCGTTTCCTCCTCACTAAAAGTGAAGTGGCTCGAAGAAAAACATGCTATCAGAGGCGAACGTTATTGGGTCAGATCCATCTGTAGCGATGTGTAGCACTACTGAATGTTCTGTGGTGTTTCGTTGTTGCGCTGCTGAATTATGCTTAAGTTCTGATGCTGCTTTGAGTAGCCTGAAGAGGCTATAAATGACGTTACTACGTAAGGATAAAGTCGAGCTATTCCATTCAAAAGAATCACGACAATAGTGTCGCAAATCGACGACATATTCATATGTGTACAGCATTGATTACACAATCGTAAAGAGGGAGAATGACGAGGACTCGTACATGCATACATATGCAGCGATTTCGTCACATATCAGTAGTTCAATAAATTCGCCACTAAGTCGATTAGTCGTTGGTGCTACAGACATCAAATTCAGAAGTGGCTTTACTAATTGTTGGACGCAACAAGACCTGCGAAAACATCATTCAATCAGTTGAATAACTGATATGATATGTTCCTTCTTCCTGCTTGCTTTCAAAATGCCTAATAATAATGCATGATACATACCTTTTTGCCACCACATGACTTGAATCACAATCTAAGATCGGAGATCACCTACTCTGCCATGAACATGATTGTTGAGGAAATCGATGGAGCAGTGGTTTCTTTCTTACCGTGAACACACGATCTATCACAACAAGAGGGATAGCAGTGTTCTAGCTGCCTTTAAACCGTGATGCAGGTTGAAACGAACCTAATCTATTACCCTTAACGAAGTAGACCCTCTCTGAAAAGAACAGCTGCCGTTACGTTGATTTCTAGAGTCTGTTACCACATTGTTATTCCTTTGAAAATCGCACACGTTCAATAGCACAAATGTGGAGTAGTCAACGAGACTTTAGTCTTTATAAAAACAAAGGTGTTCATTTGCATGCAAAAATCATGAAGAAGTAACGCGACTAAGGTTTCTGTTCCACTCATTTTATGTTCCTTACCATACGCACTTCATTCATTAAAACTATTAAACGAACTTCAAAAGTACTCGTTAATCGTTCGTTGATCGGCTAAGATGAGGGAGGCATAAAAAAATCATGTGACAAACTGAACAGTTTTCTTTATATGCTAGAATATTATAAAGTGCCATCTTTGGATCAAAAGCACCTACTCACGTCCTGTTTGAACTCCAAAATATCACCCAGGATTAGGCTTTTCGAAAGAATCAACAGCACTTCCTTTCAAAAAAGGAGAAACTCTTCAAGATAACAGTACATCTTTGTAATAATACTTGAAAAACATCAAAGTTACCTCGCTCTTCAGTGAGATCGGATCTCCGTCCAAACGAACTTCGCCCATTGTGTGAACCTGAAAATAGAATCAAACCTGGACTTTGACACAATGATGTTTTCACAACAACCACCACTTGAAAAACTGTAACACCGATGAGAAGAAAGACACTATCAGAGTCGACCACGATAAGCAAAGAATTGGCTACATTTTGCTATATGTGCATGAAAGCCGACGAGCTACAAAGCTCAGCCGGTAAACAGAACAGTACAAAAGATGCAGAGCTGAAAAACAAGGGTGATCCTTTCAACCTTGGAGTATGGATGACGGCCAAGCGGCATCATTAATGTCGCTGAGAGAAAAGTTTTACCTAGTTTTACAGATGGCGATCGCGACAGCGATCCAATTGCGCTCGTACGTTCGCTACGGGACCGCCGCTAGCAGAAGGCTCCGATGACATGATAATGAACCTTACACTGTGGTGAACAGTGTTTCAAAAGAACGTTAGATCGATTAGTCCCGTCCAGCAAATATTCAACATTAAAGAAGTAGAAGCGGTCCTTGT